GCTGGAGAGTGTAACTGAACTGGAGGCGTGGATGCGGCCGGGTTAAGCCCAAGTGGTGGTTCCGAGGTTGCTGGGCAGGCGCCCGGCTGTGAGCTGGCCCTGGCGGCAGGTGGCGGGCTCACACCCCAGCTCACTGCAGCAGCTGGCGGCCCTGAGTGAGGCCTCTGTCCTCTCAGCCTCGGCTTCCTGGCCTCTAGGACCCGATCCCTAATGTCGCTGAGGCCTCATTGGGGGCCTGGAAGGCCACGTGGCAGGGGGCTCAGATGACCCTTAAAATCCACCCCAGCTCCAGGTCACCCAGAGAGTAAGTTCCGCAGGGCACATGCACACATGACGCCGTAGTTCTCACCCCGAGGAAGTTCTGGGACTTCCTTGGGCTGAACCGGAGGAGGAGAGGGAGGAGGAGAGCGGGAGGCAGCCTCAGCTGGGCCGCTGAGCTGCCAAAGGTTTGCATGCCAGGCAGCTGCCATAGGCCCAGGGGTGAGGTGTGTGTGTGTGTGGGGGGGATCCACAAAGTACTGGCTCAGCCACACTGCGCAGCCCCCACCCTCACCCCCAGGTGGGTGCTCTGGGATTAAAGCCACCAAGAGGGAGGGAAGAGAATCCAGGCAGAAGGTGCCCTGGGTCCCAGGGACAGACAGCAGAGGCTGCCTGCCGGGAGGGGCTGCGGGTGCCCTCAGGGCTCCGGGAGCCGGTGGGAGGGCTTATCTCACCTCCTGCTCCCACTCTCCACGCCCTCCGCAGGGCCGGGGCTCAGCGTTAGGCAGAGGAGGGTTGATTCCCAGTCCCGGGTGGCTGGCAGGCGGAGTTACAAAGAGGTTAAAGGGGATACTAGCCCTCAGCAATGATGTCGGGCTCCTTGGGCCGTCCTGCAAGTTAGCGACTGTCACCCCTACTTTATAAGCAGGAAGCTGCTAAACGCAAGCAGGAAACTGAGGCTGCAGGGCTAAGCCCCGGCCCTAGGGCACCTAACGGGGTGCTGGTGGAGCCAGGCCCGGGTGGTGGAGTCCCAGGAAAGCCACCTTCAGAGCTTCCAACCACCGTCCAGCCTGGCCTGGGGGGCGGAGGGGAGTCCTGGTGCCACCTCCGGGGGAGAGCGTGAGGGCTGGTTTACTTCCTGCGGCAGGGGCTGCAGGTCCCCTCCGGAGAGGAGGCACGGCCACCTACTCCCAGGAGGGGCGGGCAGGCTTGGGCGACAGGCCGGGCAGAACCTGGGACCCCAGCGCCAGTAGGAGGGGGCTTGTTCCCGGCCACCCTGGCGCCCACTGTGTCTCCTCCTGGGGGCACTCACAGGCCAACCCTAACTGCTGGTGCAGGAGCCAGGCCTTGGTTGCCATAACAACTGGATGCTGGCAGTAAAAATAGCAACCTGCGTCTCAGTCAACTTCCTTTGCTCTTGGAGAAAAATAGAATCCATCTCCAGGCTCGCGTTTCCTTTTGGGGGTCTCCTCTGCGCCCTGCCGAGCCCTCTGCCAAGGCGGCCGGAGCCGGGGAGGCCCGGGGGAGCTGGAGAGGCCTGGCCCAAACCTGCGGCCCCTCCGTGGAAGCTGCGGCTCCGCGGACCCCGGGGAAGGGGGGCGTTGACCTTTGCAAAGCCAGCGGGACCCTTAGGGAATGGAGGCTGGGGGCCGAGGAGGGGGTGTGGCTGGCCCCGGGCACGGGGTGTCCTGGGGGGGCTGACAGTGAGGCCTGGGGTGGGGTGAGGTCCCAGCAGCTGCCAAGGAGGGCAGGGCGGGAGGAGGCCGGGGAGCACAGGGCTCGGCTCCTGGGTCTGAGAGGCCCCGTGAGGGGAGCGCTGGGCTGCAGGGCAGGTCCCGGAGGGTCCCTGGTCCCTCTCAGCCCCACTCTCCCTCCGTCTGAGGGGACAGGAGGCACGGTCACCACAGCCATGAGTGACTCCCCGTGAGAACACAGGTTCCCTCCAGCAGGACAGTCTGCCCACGCCTGAGACCAGCTTCCGACCCACAGGACTGCGACCTCGGAGAGGGTCCCCCAAGGGAGCCCCCGGCTGCCAAGGACTTGACATGTGGGCCTGGGACCGGCCCTGCACCGTCCGTTCTATTGCATTTTACTTAAGGGGCTGGCGACCGGCTGGCGGCTCCCCGAGGTGCGGGGGGCAATCTGGACCCAGGGCTCCGAGGGACCCTTTGGGGTCCTCCCGCCTCAGAGACCAGGCG